AAGATGTATTTACAGCCTTTTGCATGCTTGTTATTTATATCTGTGACCCTCATTCCTGTTATTTCTAAAGAACTGTTCTTTTCATAATGTCTCATTGTTCTTACACAGCATTGAGATCAGTCACTTTGCATTTCTCTGCACAGACTATATGAGACAAATAAAGACTCCTAAATACTGTATTTATGCCTTTTGATGCTCTTTTATTGCACCACAACTTAATTCTTTGAGTTGCACCTTAGTTTTCTGAAATTGACACCTTAAATTTCCCCAAGAGAAAGAATATGAAACGCTTTATGTATGTATAAACCTCTGACTGATGCACTTGAACAGATTTGCATTCAGTTCCAGACGATGAACAGCAAAGACGTTCTCTTCTATCTGACTCTATCCCTAATAAAGAAAAGTGAAGTGAGCTTAACGCTGCAACACCCAGAACAGATTCTAACGCCGCCTTACAAATGAGGATCTAGAAAAAGGTGACAGGAAGTCAGCTGGCCGACATCCTTTCGTTTCCGCCCTTCGATTGTTCTTTTCTCTCAGAGCCGGTGTTCTCCGTCTCTCTCTCTCTCTCTCTCTATCTCGGCCAAGCCTCTTCCTTTAGCACCCACTTTGCATTCTCCAGCTGCCAGGGACGCTCGCTGCCTTATATGGTAAAACAAACTATGGAGAATGTTTGTGGTGGAGTATCAGGGAGATTGTGGCGCGCACACACACACACACACACACACACACACACACACACACACAGAGTTTTTTTAAGAGTCCTGGAGGACAAGTAGCTGCTCTGTTATCATCAGGGCTTAATATGTAACACCAGCTTTCTAAGAGCCGCTCGCAGCGCCTGGTGACGGCTGCCAGCAGAACGAGGCGACTCTCGACTCGTCGGGTCCGTTGCTGAACACTCATATCTGTACGGTGAAGTTCAGGTGGTTGGTTCGACTTAAAGACAGGAAGCGAGGGGGAATAAAGCCGCCCCGCTCTGTACAAAGGTGACGAAATGTGCTTACCGGCGATTCTCAGCATTCAGCACCGAGTATCTTGTTGGTTTAATCTTTTAGTCGACGGAGTTAAAATAACTTTTGGTGAGACCGTCGCCTCGTCCGACCCAGTGAATGTGGCAAACAGAGGCTTTATATTTACTGTGCAAACATGACAGCGGAGTTAATCTTCAAATCTAAAGTTTAGTGAGAAACTGTTTACCTCCAAGTTCATGAACACAAAGTACAGCGCGCTGGAATACACTTAATGAGATGCATAACCGCAGGATAAAATGCTGTAATGTTGTTTTCAAGATTTAAAGGCAGTGTGTTCAGATACACGGCTGCACTTTAGAATAAAAAAATAATCGTAAATGCCACTACATGAAGTAAAACAAGAAAAAAA